GGTCGACGCCAGAGAGGGTCGAAGTTGAAGTTGAGGAGGTGGAGTGTTTACTGGCTAATATGATTTATAAGGGCCTTATGAAAGGCTATATCTCCCGCGAGAGGCAGACCGTCGTACTGAGTGGGAAAGAGCCGTTTCCTGGGACCGTAGTGTGATTTACTGGCGGGATGTGAACTTTACCGCTTTGGGCCGGGGGGGGGGGGGGGTCAATATCCCTCATCGCGTCGTGGGGTTTTGTTAAGGGTGATTATATGCGTGCGAGTTTTTCTTTTTTTTTGCTTCTCTGCTGCCGGGAGCTTATCTTGGCTGCCGGGAGGAGGCTTCTTTCTCTCACCTACAGTATTCATCCTGTTTGCGCGTGAGAAAAGCAATGCACTCTGGTTTGGAACAACTTGCTTACTACGGTTCCAGGCGATGGCTTATTTCCTTTTTCCTCTTTTTTTTCCCCCACCATGTCTGACTATGGCGCCGCCGTATGAATGGTTTATCTTTTCTTTTTGTTTACAGTACAGGAATGGGTAGAGGATTAGTATGGCACTGCTTGTACGGGGAATCGAATCGAATCAAATCGAAAGATGGTAGTGTATAGTACATAGTGAAAGTTTGGTAATGGCGATTGGTTTTTTTCTAGTGCTGGAATGCTTTTTTTACGGTTTCTATAGCTATAAGCTCATGTAATTACAGAATGGAGAGGGGGGAGGGGATAGTGAGTTGCATGGAATTTGGTTTTCAATAATTTGCATTCCCTATCCTTTGCGACAAAGTGGTATGAATAGTGAAAGAAAGGAAGCGAAAAGGAAGTTTATCCGTCAGGTTTCTATAGCCGCCCCTCCATCTAAAATTTATAAACCTCCTCCTTCTTATACCCCAACTCCTTCAACAGCCCCGCCACTTCCCCCTGATCCGAGGGGCTATTCTTAACGCCACTAATCGCCTTATACATCCCAGGGGGCCCGCACACGAAGATCTTATTATTCCCACTGCCTGGCTCTGGCAGCACCTTCTTGAGCAACTCCTTCGTCACGCGTCCCTGCGTAGCCCTCCCCGGCTTCTTCGGCGCTTCGTCCACCAGATAGAAAGCCCTAAACCTCTGCGGGTACGTATTCTCCAAATCCTCCAGCTCCCTTTTCAGCAATATGTCCTTCTCAGTGAGATTGCCAAATACCAGGGTCACCTTGGTCTTGTCCTCCGGGTTGTGGAAGATGGCGCGCATAAGTTGGTACATGGGGGTTATCCCCGTGCCACCAGCGATGAGCGTGATGTGCTCGTGCTTGTTCGGTGCCCACTCGTATTTCGGTATGGGCCCTTTGAAGGAGAGGGACCTACCTCTGCTCAATGAAAATATGTGACTGCTCATTGGCCCGTTGTCGTATTTTTTCACCACGAGGTCGAGGTAGCCGCGGGCGTCTTCGTCGTTTACCGGAGTGTAGGGTCTAATTGTGGGTTTTTCGTCGGTGGGGGCCTGATGCTTTGTTAGGACGGCGGCTTTGGGGAGCATGTCTGTTAGTGGCTTGGGTGCATTTTCCCATCCCAGATGGGGGAAGGAAGTAGGACCTACAGGCGACTTTCAACCCACTAACATGGTTCTCACTCGGGAGTTTGAATCGGAGCCTCATCGTATTATGAGTTACCAGGGCGAGTTCTGCCAACTAATACATTCCTTCGTTAGCATCTCCTCTTCCGATTTCCCTGTTCTACCCCATCCTTTATCGAAAAAGAATACACCGGGCAACAAACCTGCAAATCAACCCACTCTCCGTCCCCCTTGAAAGTGACCTCTGGTGGCCCCAACACAGCCTCGCCGCCGGCAGTGGAATAGTAGTAATACCCTGCCCCACCAGCAATTGCCCCACCAGCAATTGCCGCGATTGCAGAGTACACCAGCACATTAGACCTTTTCGGTCCACTTGCCGGAGCCGAAGCGTAAGCCCTGCGAGAGCAAGCAGCAGGAGAGAAGCGGAGGGAAGTGCGGGCAAAAGCGGTACGAGCAAACATGCTTATTTCTCAACTTTTATTGTGCGATATATTGGGTATTTCGGGAATTGCTGAAAAGGAGGAAGAAAGATGATAACGGTGGAGGTTACCGTCGTCGTCGTCGAGTAGGTCGAGAGGGTTGGAGGAGGGAGTAGAAAGGGAGGAAAGGGAGGGAACAGAGTAAGGGGATGGGTGTTTGTGTGGATGGCCGGTGGTGGAGGGAAAAGGGAATTGAATGACGTTCCCTTTCCCGTGGTCAGGGTTGTGGTCGTAATTGCCAAGAGGTGAGTGGGGGTTCCCTGTCCCTGGCAAGGGTCGCTTGTTGCCCTTTTGCTAGACCAGGGCGGGAATCAAGGGTTCCGTTCCCGGAGAGTTTGATGGTATCACATGATATGACATCAAGACTTCCACTTGAATCAGGTGATAATTGCAGCAGGGCTATCCAATCACTTGCCTTTATTCACATCTAAGGTATCATACTTACACCGGTAAGTGTTAGAAGGTATTACTGGTACAGCTAGGCGCTGCACAAAAGTTGCCATGGTAACTTATTACACCTCGCAATGCAGCTACGGATGAGTATCGATAAAGTGCTTTACCTAACATAAAACCCGGGCACCCACTCGGCACATCATCAACAGTCTACGAGCACATGACCATATTGTTCGTCACACAAGGTATTCACATCACAATATATCACTCGAGAGGGTTAAACAGAAGGATACCATCCCCCGGGACCAATCCAGACTATTCAACACTTTCTCAAGCTTGCTATTCCGTTCCACCCACGAAAAACAAACAAGTAGGAAATCCAAACTAAAACATGAAGTATCCTTGAGTCAATGGTAGCTTGTCGGAAACAGGACTCTTCAATGTTACCCCGTCGGCAACAACAGTCTACACTCCTATTAGCACCATTCACAACAGTCCATGCAAATTAAACAGGAAACATACAAATTTCTCTGGATCGACCTGCATCTTCGGCATCGCATCATTATACTTCATATCCTTCTTGCCGATCCCACGGCATCCCAGGATAGGTTCCACACGCTTCCTCAGACCATAGGCTTGCACCGTCCCAGTTTCCAGGGAGACACGGGAGACGAACGTAATGCTCGCCTCGGGCACACTTGCTGCGAACATTTTCCTTCCTAGGACTGGCTGGACAGATGGAATAGAAGCGTTTGGATCACCCATTTGTGCGTATGCAATGAGCCCGGATTTCAAAACCTGTGTGGGTTTTGTGCCAAAGTTGGCAGGAGTCCAGATGACTAGATCTGCGAGTTTGCCTACTTCAACGGAACCGACAAGATGTGACATCCCGTGCGCGATGGCAGGGTTAATAGTGTACTTTGAAATGTAGCGTTTCACACGGGTATTGTCTGCTTCGAGTTTCTTGTCTTCCTCCAGGGGACCTATCTCCCCTCTATTTTTTGATGCAGTTTTCCAGGTCCGGAGAATCACCTCGCCACAACGGCCCATTGCCTGTGAATCCGAGGACATCATTGAGATAGCTCCCATGTCGTGGAGGACATCTTCCGCAGCAATAGTCTCTTCACGAATACGAGATTCCGCAAAAGCAATGTCCTCAGGAAGTTCCTTTGACAGATGATGACAACACATTAGCATGTCGAGATGCTCCGCAATTGTGTTCTTGGTCAGAGGGCGGGTAGGGTTAGTCGAGGAGGGGAGAACATTGGGATGTTCCACGACGCGTATGATATCCGGCGCATGACCGCCACCCGCTCCCTCGGTATGGTAAGTATGGATCGTACGGTCTTTAAAAGCGCCAATGGTCTGTTCCACAAAGCCAGATTCATTGAGCGTATCCGTGTGGATGAGGCATTGGACATCATATTTGTCGCAGACGGATAGACACGTGTCTATTGCAGCCGGCGTGGTTCCCCAGTCTTCATGAAGCTTGAGACCAACAACTCCGGCACGGCATTGGTCCTCTAACCCCTCTGGAGAGGAATCGTTGCCTTTGCCGGTTATACCGAAATTTACAGGAAGGGTATCGACTGCCTGCAGCATTTGACGAATTTGAAACATTGATGGGGTGCAGGTTGTTGCATTCGTTCCAGTGCTATTATAAAGTTTTACCCAGTGTAACTCAATATTAGGGGAAGAACTCACGTTGGACCGCAACCACCGCCTAGCATCGTGGTAATGCCCGATGCCAATGCCTCCTCTGCTTGCTGGGGACAGATGAGGTGGACCTTATAGCACATTAGTACTAGACCGCGCAAAAATGCGTTAGGGAGTACTTGCATGAGAATCGAAACCACCATACGTGAGGATTTTCCCTTCCCCGGCGATAACATCAGTGTTAGAGCCCACAACCATCCCCTCATGCACACCTTCCATCATGTCCGGATTTCCTGCCTTTCCGATACCAGTGATAAAACCGCCTTTGACACCGACGTCGGCTTTATAAATGCCAGTATAGTCCACAACAAGCGCATTGGTAATGACCAGGTCCAAAGTTTCAGCATCGGATCTGCCGCTTGCCTGGCCCATTCCCTCTCTCAGTGACTTTCCGCCGCCAAACTTGCATTCGTCCCCGTAGACAGTATAGTCCTTCTCGACCTTAATCCAAAGCTTGGTATCACCCAAGCGCACCATGTCGCCGGTAGTGGGACCAAACATAGCGGCATAGGCAGCCCTATCCATGGAATACGGCTCAACTCCCTCAAGCGATATGACCGGAGTAGGGACGTGAGAAAACCCACCCTTTTGCAAATTCTCCAGAATCCCCGGAATCCTACCTATCTCAAGGCGCCCAGTAGCAACATTGTTCCCTCCAGTTATGATTTTGCGTCCGCCAATCTGGACAAGGTTGACCGTCCTAATTTGCCCTGGTTCAAAGCGAGTAGCAGTCCCAGCAGGAATATCGAGACGATAGCCAAAGGCTCGGATCCTGTCAAACTCTAGGTGCGGATTGACTTCGATGAAGTGGTAGTGACTCCCGACCTGGATTGGTCTGTCACCCCTGTTGGTGACACGAAGAATGCACCTATTTCTCCCTTCATTGAGGACAATCTTCGGCCCTTTAACTGCTATAACGGCACCCGGTTGCTTCTCGTGTTCGTATTCTGACACATCCACAAAGGGGAACAAGTCCTGAGAAGGGATTGGCAGAAAAGAACCATAGAGTGCTTTTTCGAGATCCCCATCCTCGGATGAAATTGGGGAGCAAATTGTGACGAGATAAGTTCCGTCCGGGAATGTTCCTTCTACTTGGATCTCTTTCAGAGTACTGGCTACGTGCGGGAGAACGTGTCTGCGCCCGAGCATGGTCTTGCCTTCTGTCACGAGTTCGTCGACACTGTATTTTCCATCGCGGATCAACTAGGCGGAATTAGCTATTAACATTACCACCACTCCGGGACAAAAATAATATTACCTCTTGAAGATTATTAGAAATGAGTGCCTTATTGGAGGAGAAAGGAAATTAGCCCCAGAAATCACGATCGCAATCACTTGATTAATTGAATTTAGTTGGGAAAAATACCCTAGCCTCGGTCTCATTCAACCTAACACCCCTTGCAAGGCGTTTCTGCGCCAAAGAACCAACCAGCGAAACAATCACGAGCTTGTCAAGCTGTCTAGTCGGTTAACCTCCATTCCTCGGGAGGGAAGAAAAGTGTAGCGGAACATAAGATAATCAAATAAGGTTAACAAACCTCACGGGGAATTAGCTTCATGACAACTAAATTAACGTTTGGCGTTTGGGGGGTATGGGAAATTCGGGGTTGTGTTGTGGGAAAAGAGGGCTGGTGAGAGAAATGAGATGAGGTTGTTTTTGCGATAAGGTTGTGGGCTGGGTGGGGAGAGGGAGGAAAGATAAGGAATGGGGGCTGCTGTTTTCACGCTGCGGTCGCCGTGTTTTCCCGTTAAATTTACCACGGGTAGGGTGCAAGGGTGCAAGGGTGCAAGGGGCAAGGGAAGGAAGGAAGCAATCGAACATGCAAAAATACAGTGAGGGTGAGGGGGGGCAAAAAAAAGTAAAAATTACAGTTTGCACCTCCCTCGAGCAGAGGAAGCTTTCGGATAACCTCTACGAAGAATCATCCTGATCACAAAATATCATTCGGGAGACGAGAACCTAACGGGTCTTTCAAGGGGAGCTCATATGATACCAGGGTAATATTATAGCACAGCTACTGGAGCAAAGCCACCGAACAATGTACATCGATCTAGACTTCTTTTCTACAGAATGAAAAACACACGCCTTGTACCAAGCCGACCAATCCAAGAGAGTCATCTCGCGATCAAGAAACCCACAACTCCGATTCCAAAATATAAAAAAGCGCCCAGTGCCGCTCCATATTTTGTCACACCAAACGTGCTCGTCCAACCCACCGCTGCTGTGAATATATCTCAGAAGTTGACGATTCCCATGAAAGCCGGTCGCAATGGCCTGAATATCATAGAAACAATGCTATCCTAAAGGATTAACTGCTCGGGGAATTATATGGAGAGAGTAAGATCTTGGTACAGTTACGGTATATCGCGCTGAGCGCATCTCCTTTACAAAAAAGAAAGCAGCTTTTTGCAGTCTACTTTTCTCAAGCCAGCATCGTCCACACTATGACTGGGAAACTATCCCCTCGTAGATCCACTATCTTTTTCTATTTGGGCGTTGTGCTAAAAGAATTGTCCCCAAGTCCCTCCCGCAACGCTAGAGGGAAATCACAAATATCTAAACTCCTTTTGAAGCCTGTGACATGTGCCGCGCTTTTTTTTCCACCACCGCAACAGCTGGTCAATGGTATTTCTACGGTGACAGCTTTACGCGTATCATAGCAGTTTTAAGTTCGGCATCAAAAGGAGGGATACCCTGGCTGGTTAAATGAGGTCGGCTTCAATGGCCGACTTTCAAGAAGAATCTAGGGCTCTCCCAACTAGAAAAATCGGCAGCCCTCACTTATACCAGCCCCTCCAAAACCCTCAGGTCGCTAGATCCATATAAAAAATATGCTCCCGTGGTATGGCTTATTGAGCGAGGAAGTGGGAGCGAAGAGCAAATTGATGCAACTTTGGCAGGAAAAACTACAATCCCCCCCGGGACGGACGTGAAAGGGGGCGGGGGTTCAAACCTCCGAATTACACTAAATTTGCATGCTGGACTAGCAAGGACGACAATTCAAGTACATGCACTCTAGGTTTTATCTTTGTATCGTTGCATTGCCCAAAGGCTCTATAGTTCGTTATTTGGAGGGAGCTCGAATAAGCCTCATCTGAGTCTAACTTATGCAGGGACGCTATTGGAGGTGGTCTCATAAGTGTTTTTTTGCTCCCCTGAGCTAACCGCCCCAGTCCCAGCCCCATCAAGCAAGTTATGATATGATACCTACTGGTACTGTACTGTACTCGGCCTCCTCCCACCTTAAGTATCTGGAAATCCTTACTTAACCCAAATAACCAACCACTATGGTGAGGCGGTGTAGACCAACACCGGCTCTCAGACAAAACCACCTTCTCAGAATTTCAGGTCAAAACTAGAGGAAATATCTGCCAAGTCCATGGAAATCCATACACATGCTTAGAGCTTTTCCGAGCAATTAAACCACTCCGAAAACCATACAAAAAAGAAATAAGTTTCCAGGATTATCTTCTCTCTGTTGTCTCTTAGTACTCCCGGAAAACCAATCTTTTGGGAACTCGCTCCCCCGAGTTACTCGATCATTAGGGAGCGAAGCAAAACCACTTGTTAGTCCATGTACACTAGAACAATGGTAAGATACTCTGGATGACCTCTTAATTGACATATCCCCAGAACTGCCCGGATACACTATCATTCTAGGCTCAAAATTTAAATTCGCCAGCGAAAGAACCCGCCACCTACCAATCTAACACTATCCGCATCTAACCCCTCCAAAGAAGCCAGTTAGAAGGTCAAGCAACTAAGACTACCGTAATCGTAAGCAGAGCCATCAATCACTTTCAGAAACCAGCCAATAGATACCCAGTCAACCCAACCCGGATACCGGTACTGCACATCTACTGCACTCACGAAAGGGGCACAAAAAAGTACCCTGACAAAAGCCATCAGCGCCAAAGTTCCGGGTGCCATTCCACTCCAATTAATACCACTCCGAGTAATTCCCTACAGAACAGATCCCGACTACTTTTTCCCGATAACACCAGCGCTTCATCTTGATACGAGTCTACCGTACCCTGAAAATTTCCGTACAATTGTCACGATGGCCTTTGGGGATTGTAACCATTCTTGAAGGTGATGTGCTTTGCGCTGAACCGAATACTACTGCACCCGTTACTGGAATACCGTACAATACTGTCTTCCGTCCCTACGATTCCGATCGCCTACGATATCATAAAATTGCCACCGTAGTACCGTATCTTTCCGCACAAGTCAGACTAGAGCTAAGAGCACTCAGGCGACAGATTTAAGCGATGGTAGTGGAAACAGGTGGGCAGATATAAAAATGCGTAAAAACTAAAACTAGACAAAATGAGTAATTCCCTTTATGCAATGCTAAGAGTTTTGCAACTTATGCAGAGTATTAAGAATATCAGACGTATGAAGAAACCATTCCCTACATCCCGAAGTTATGTCCCAGTTCACCGGTCCGGTCCCCCCTCTGTCTCAAGTCTCTGGTGACCACTCAACTTACTTGAACTTGAATTGCAACCAAGAGTTCTTCAAGCAACTCTGATTTGTAGTTTTGTCTAACCTGATTTACAGACTCACTTTTTCCTATAGTGCTCTAATGGTATTTATTATAACTATTCTATATTTTCTAATTACAGAATCTATAGTATTGTCAAGAGCATCTAATACCTCTTTTTCTCTCATAGTTTATTTATCAAAACATTCAATTACTGAAGCAGGACTACTAGTAGTACATACCCAATGTAAGTCATATCAATTTAGCACAATACTATAATGTAGAATGGTAAAATTATAATAATATAAAACACTATATTTTCCAATTGCCTTACATGCAAGTATTATTCAAGTTAAAATCAATAAACTAATCAAAATCAATGATAACAATACTGGAAATCAAGAGACAAGATAGTACTAGTTATAAGATACAAATTCTAATAGCAATAATAGTATTAACTAATAGTATACCAGAGAACCTATAGACAGTAGCAGGGGCATTCAATATTATAAGTCACTCTTACTATATTATCAACATGAATATAATAGATCAACTTACTATTTAGTTAAATTTAACAAATAACCAATAACTCTAAGAGAGAAAAAAAAAATTACTATGATACTTAGTATCAAGAATAAGATGACTAGGGCTTTTCTTCTCATCTAGTTATCATATGGTAAAAAAAATACAATTCTTTATCTTTAGGTTTTCAAAAAAAAATCATAAAATTTAATCAAAAGAAAGATTTTTTCAAATTTCACAATCATTGTTTACTCCTAGCAATAACAATTCAGTCTCTAAGAATAACACTCAACTCTTATCAATATGCTAGGATTAGTATCACCTATCAATAGAAGTTGTATTAGCAAAACTCTTATCAAAGGAATAGATAACACTTGCTTTATTAACAACTAGAAAGATTGAAGACTGAAGGGATCAAAAAGAAAGATAGAAGAAAAAGTAAAAGTAGAAGGGAAATCAAATAGGATTTTGATTTAAAATTAATATTACACAATCATGATTTTTCTTAGCCTGCTACTACATCCTAGTTTAACTCCTCACCAGTAGCATGAGGTTCAATTATTCAAATTCCTATACTAGTAGTTGTAAAGTGAATAGACTTAGTCACAATACTTACAAGTGTACTAACTAACTAACCTTTACCGATCATACCTTATCTCTTCCATCACAGTAATATACAGAGCGGTCAATCCAATCCATAATTTCTCATAATAATTTGTGACAAAATAGGGTAGGAAAAAGAAAATTACAGGAAACTATGAATATATGAAATTGTCTTAACCCTTTCAACTTATCCGCACCTAATTTGACTAAAAACACCGGGCACTTCTTTAAAAAAAAAAAATTCTCAAAAAATTTTCAAAAAAACAATTATTCAAGATAGACAAAAGGTCATACGGCATTGCTGAACTATTTCAAGCAGCAAAAAAAAATTAGGAGCCCATTCCACACTATACTATTAATTGAAAGGTTTCATACAGTGCTAGATGAAAATGAGTCATAAATATTACTGGTAACATCATCAATTCATTATCTCATATCTACTTTCATCCCCCACTCAATTGACCTTGAAATCGTATCTCTTTGGGGGGGGTTTTTTTTTCTTCTACTGTTGTAATGTTATGTAGTGGTCGATGTCGTTCAGCCATTACCGGTGATTAACAAATACCCCCCCAAGACACACAACTGCACTGTAAGCTGGTTCCTTACCATGTACAATACTGTCATAGCACTACCCTACTATCCCAACACCCTACCCGCCCCATCTCAACCTTAGGACCACAACCATTGCAACCTAAATCCTATCCCCCACAAAGAATCAACCACAAAAGAACCTCAAGCTTTTCCATTCCCGCAACAGCTTTTACCGTGTATGATGTCAATTCATGCAGTAGTACCAGGTGATACCGAACGCCTGCATTCATATCTATGATACTTCCTCCCACATTGCACATAAAAAAGTACTTTCCCGAACAAAATAAAAATAAAAAATAAAAAATAAAAAAAGGAGGGGGAGGTGGAGGAGGGAAACAAGCGGTCCTACCAGTCCAGTACATTTCTTATGCTCTTGCAATGAATACCGTACTCCGAGTCCCACGACATGACAAGAAGAACGTGAGGCTTACTACCCAGCACCTAAATTCCGATTCCATTTTTTTTTCTTTTTTCCAGATAGATGTGTGAAGTGTTCTCTACCATCGTATCGTATACAGTATCGAGAAAGAGTGAGAGTAAATTCGCATAGGGGTTTAAACTTGTAAGGTACGATACAACGTATAGTGAAAGCCAAAGGGGCAAATTGTAATTGTAGGTTCAGAGGGGGGGGGGGGGACGGTACAGTTCTTCATTAGCAAGTAGTTAACGGTGATGTACAGTACACAGCGGTGGGGGGGGTGGGGACACCCCAACTGCTGTTAAAACCAACTTTTGTCACAATTCATTCTTATGATATAATGCTGGGGACGGTTCGGTATGGTATGGTATGGTATGTACTGTACATAACCCCTTCCAAACAAATAAAAAAAATTAAAAAATTAAAAAAAGCATACTACTATAAGTAGACTCTTTACTCGACTACCAGTACTTCAATATGATTTAATTTACCCACCCCTTCCAAGCAACCACCGTGAAGCGAACTATATAGCACAACACTGCACTACACTGCACTACACTACACTGAACTACACAGTTACAATACACGGCAGACATTCCGCACCAACAATCATTTCCCCAACCCGTCACACTCCCCGCCCTTATCAGTAACAATAAACACACGCACCAGCACAACAGCACCGTATCGTACAAAATACAAAAAGTAGGAATCTCACACTCACAGCAGCCGGTGGCACGAAACGACAATAAAAAAATCTTATTTTCATTCTTACCTTTCTGCTGGAAAACGATTTGTCCAGTACAGTACTTGTACCGCAAAGTGGTATAAAGTGGTATTGTCGGGGCGCTCTCCACCCGCGTTAGCGTACAGTGCTATGGTGGTGGCCTGGGGGCATGATATGATGCGATATGATATTATGCTTGTTTAGGAGTAAGTGACAAAGATATGGGGGTTCTTTGTTCTGTCATACCTTGTCCATCAAAGTGCGCTTTCATCTCTTGTTTAGAGTTTTGGATGGTCAAGGGCGAGTAGGTTCCAGGGTCCCTCCTTCCACCTTTCCGCCGGACGGTGCCTTTGTCTGATAGCACAGGCAAAGTGTGGGTGAAATTCGCTCGCTCGTTCATAAATACCTGCTCCGCTTGCCTTCCCATTTATCATTCACTTACTGCATTTCATTGAAAACGATTTTGATGTTCCGAAAAAGTTACTATGATATCCGCCGCCATTTATTCCCCCTACAAGCTTGCCATCCATCGCATACTACTACACACAGCACCATTACCCTTTTTTCTCCCCAATACAAAAGAAATCACCCTGCTCCGGTATTTTATCCTATCCCATCATGATATATAATACCACTCACGCATCCTTCCCAAAGCCGGAGAAGCAAGGAAAAGGAAAAAGGAAAAAAAGAGAGAAATGACAAAACAAAATAAGAACCACCTCCCAGCCTCCTGCCAGATTTTTTCTACACCACGTTATTAAAGTAAAAAAATAGGAAAGAGAAAGGGGAAACAAGTCATTATAGGGCAAATGCACCACTCCAGTCCACTTTATGCAACTCCAGGAAACCGAGTTGCGCAGATTTAAGCGGAAAGAAACAGAGTAGTGGGAGAAGATAGGTGTAACGTGTTGAAAGGGACAGAATGGAAACAGATAGCTAAAAAGCGTCATGACATTCCCCAAAGAAATGAAAAATCAAACACTGACACATGACGAGGAGTAGGTGGAATATTCGCGATACAAAGCGGAAAAGTAAGGAACAAAACAAACAAACATAGGTATCATAAAAATAAAAAATCCGTTCATGAGCAGAATTTTTATTTTTCGATTTTTTTGATATATAGCCGAGAGGCTGCAAGGAGAGAAAATCGAAGGAAAAGGAAATGTCAAGGGGAAAAAAAAAGTGAAGGACTTATCAGTGACCACACCAAGTGTCAATATCACTTGACTACGAAAAAGTCCTAATCAGAGCTCTTTCTCCTCTTGCGAGTCGCCTTCTTCCTAGGAGCAACCTCGTCAATGGGTTCCTCCTCTATAACCTTCTTGCGGCTGGCGCGCTTTCTCTTCGCCGGCTCATTGGCTTTACCATCGACGATGGCGGATGCGGGTGGAGCGACGGCGACAGAGTTAAGGGTACCTCTAAGGTTACCATTGGTAGCGGTAGCCTTCTTTCCCCTGGGGGTGGTCTTCTTGCGAGGTGGAGGAGTCGGAGATCTAACTTCCTCTTCCTCTTCCTCTTCCTCTTCATCTTCGACACCAACCTCGGCTTCCGATTCTCCATTCTCATCGACGACCTTATCGCTTTCGGCATCCGATTCCTGAGGGTTTTCGAGCTCAGTATTGACGGCGGTGAAACCCACGGCTGAAGATTCGCCCGATGCAAGCTCCTTTGCGGCCTTATACAAGGCCATATCCTTTGCGTACACTTCACGATTTTTCTGATACAGATCCTGCCAGGCCTACCCAATGCATCAATAAATATTAGCCAATCCATTAGACTCAGTATGGATTCATGATTCCACATACCTTTTTCTGATCATCCGGAGTATCAGACCAACGCTTGGTAAGTTCCGCCAAAACATCCTTGTGGGTTGCATCAGGGCCGAGATCCGCCTTAACAGTATCCCTACCCTGATGGCAGAACAACAAGTAGGCAGTCATTGGTCTCTTTGGCATAGCGGGATCGCGCTTTGGGCGTCTAGCTCGCCTTTTAGGGCCTTCCGGTTCTTCGGTAGGACCACGCTGGAATAAAGCATGAGACTGCTGTTGCTGATCAGAACCAGATGCGATGAAATGGTTAAAAAGACTTATAATGGCGCGGGACGCCTCGTCAGCGGAATTGCGCAGCACAGTCATCGAAGTGACACACTAGCAATCATGTCAGCGATAAGATACCGAGATGTTAATGATAAGACGCCGAGAGGTTAGCAAGAAGACGCCGAGAGGTAATCGTCGTGACAACGGCTATGGCAGTAGTAGTAGTGCCATAATGTTGATAACGACGACGACGACGACGACGACGACGACGACGACAGTACAGAAGTCGGCTGCATGTGGATCATGATAACCAACATGCAAAAGGGCATACCGGAACTCCAGAGTCCGGAAGCCGGTAGGATACAGAGGGGAATGGCAAAAGGATTCCAGGATGAGATGCGGCTCAAGGCGCAGCAAGGAACATTTCCACTCCTGCGCCAGCAAAAGGGAAGATGGGTGATGAGGTATTGATGGGATATAGGGAATGGAAGTGGGTGAAATGAACACAAATGCTTAACAAATAAAGAGGAGGAAAGGCTTACCGAATCGCGTAGGCGAACGAGCTCATCCACATCGATGGAGGCCGGCGCGATGGCTTTTTCCTTACCAGATCTAGCCATTTCGGTTTGGTAAATAAGAAACAAGTTATCGAGAGAGCGCGTTATATCTCACTATCCCTTCAATCGGAATAGAAGTTGGTATTTATTCCGAGTCAAGTCGCTATCGTGATGGACAGCAACTATCTACCAGAGTGTGGTGAGTGTGTGTGTATGTGTGTGTGTGTGTATGTGTGTGGTGGGGTGTTGTTTTTTTTTTCTGACAGAGAAGGAAGGGAAGAGAGGATGGAAGGGAACGTTTTAAAGAGCGAGGGGCGAGAAGAGCGGAGCAAGTTGAAAACGGTATCGAGAGGGGAGGATGATGGGCAAGGTGGGGAAATGAATCAAGCCTGGAGGCAACCAGACTCGACTCGAGACAACTCGCGCTTTCAAGGACGGCAAGCAAGAGTGGAGGGAGAGGAGGGAAGAGTTTGGTGGGGAGGGTGGTAGGAGGGAGAGAGGGGAGGATTGAAAAACCGGGCGGGACGCTATAAAGGGTGATGGTGGTGGTGGTCACCATTGACACCCCAAATGGCAGCCCACGGGCACAGGGTGCGCCTGAATAGTGGTAACCACAGTTGACCTTTTGGCCCAAAGTAGCCCGAAATCCCAAGCATGTCGCTGCCTACCCCCAGCCCGCAGTTGGCCTACCGTGCCCGGAGCCCGACACTCTCAAGTTACCACCTCTCAGCACAATGGCCACACGCTCCCACAGCAGCGGATGGTGTCTGTCGGCTACCATACCATCTCTCCATCTCTTGATAACCCGTGCCCGACTTCGCTAAAAGCGACAGAAACAGTAAGCCATCGCCGATAAAGATGAAAGAAGATTCTCCCTTTGAAAAAAATTGAAAAATTGAAAAAGAAAAAAAATACACGCTCTCTCCCCCTCCTTTCTCTCCCACTTGAATGTTCACTTTCTTGGAGGGTCACTTTCAAGTACAGTACAGTACAGTGGCATGGAGAGGGCAGAGATCCTGGAAGGTGTCGTAAGGGAAGAATGGCGAAAAAGCGTCAACTCGATGAACAGCGGCAGTCAGGCCATGGCTGTCTCGCACGCTGAGTGTGGGATACCGGTAGCGGCAACGTCAACTGGGCACCCCTCCTTGCCCCTGTTGCCTACGACTCGAGTGCGATAGCGTACGGTAAACACGCACAGATACGGTTGTCGTGTCGCCCAGCCCAACCCTACCCACCCACCCACCCAATCCACCCCCCAACCTCAGATGGGAGTCCTGCCCACAGTCAACGACAACCATCAATCACACTGAACGGTATTCAACCACTGCACTCGACATATGCATACCATGCCTATTACCATACCATACAGCACTACATCATCAGATTACCAAAGCAAGGCAGAAATAAAAAGAAAAGAAGAACAAAGACACATGTTTACACCACCACCTACTCCAATCAACGCACCCGACTAATCTTGAATCTAATTTGTTAAACACCTTGAACCCTTCTCCCACTTTTTTCTTTCTTTTCAACTCCTCTCTTTATGGTGCTCTTGCTTTACAATTCCCATACTAATAGCGTACCCCAATGCAACGCAACTCTTGAATCCTGGATAGAATGCAGAACGTTACCAGATGGGTTTTTTCTTTCTTTTCATCTTTTTCTTTTGACAGCACAAGATTGTCCATCAGGATATAATTACCATTATTCTTTCATGACACCTGTTCATTCATTTATTCATGTATAGTGACTGTGTTGACAAAACATTGTCTAAAGGATGAAAAATAGAGTGAAAAAAAAAAAAGTATCATATCCTCTTACAATAACATGGAAGAAAATGAAAAAAAAAAGAGTGAAGATGAAGGAATAGCGAGAAAGTACAAGAAAAAAGATTCAAGAGGAAAGAAAAGACAAAAGGGACAGGCAGGCGTAGCGACTTGGAAAGACAGCATACAACACCAATCAAACCCAACCGAAACCGTCACCCTAAATCACTCGACATCACTGCACACTACGGTAGCGCGATGAGCCGTGCACACAAGCTGTCATAGCCGCATGGGCTCATGGCCACGGGATACTGCAAATTCTATGATTGGCCCTTACCCAATAACAATTCAAGAAGCGTAAAAGAAAAAAAAAATACTCCTCTATACCTACCCTCGAACGCGGCAGCAGCAGCGGTCGGCACCTGTTCCAAAACGCCTACGGTATCGTCAACCTAATCGCGCCAGTGGAAGCAGGCGCCATGGGAAAAACTTGCGCTACCGCGGTAAGCTGACTCGATAGAAATCAACCAAAGTAGCATCATCATCATGCGCTTTACAATTGCTCGACCCGTTTTCCGCTACAGACCACGCGATCCCGGCCGCACTCGTGTGAGTCCTGATTGGTTATAGGTTTTATTTATTTATTCCATGGGGTCCTGCAGAGCAGATTTTCAAGAGGAAACTGGTAATTATGACTTCAGGTAAATTATCTCTTGTCCTTCCCGATAGCTGCTGATATTTCTCTCTTAAAGAATATTGGTAGAGCTTGATTAATGTTTTTTTTACTTTTTCTTCTCAGAAAGAATGCCATATGATTCCCAGAGGTTTATCAAAAAAAAAATTAAGAAACCATAAAGGTGAGATTTCCGGATGCAAAGCTTCTCATTTTTGGTGTAAAATTCCAATCCTCTCAGGACATTTCGATACCAGGCTCGTACCCTTGATGGCGGTATACCATGCCGGAAGACTTGAAGTTGCGGCGCTGGCACCCCGACATCGGATACTCGTAACATTAGAGAGGGCCGGGCGGACGGGGTGGGCAGGTCATTATATATATAGAGGGCAATACCTATGACTACGACACCATACCGTGCATACCGGTACGCTATATATTGACTTTCCCACTTACCGCACGAGTACAGTACCGGCACTGTACCACAAAGAAAAAGTGCCTATGATACGATATAACCCTCCACGTCATACAGACAATCACAACCGACACACCAATTTCACGCCCGACGCAAACACGTGTCAAGCAACTTTTCTTTGTTTTCCCACCTATCCACCGCCTACACCTACATATCCACCCGGGCAACGAGACAAAGCACTGCAACCACCGGTTATGATACCTACCTACCTACCTACCTACCCACCCTACCCTACCATCGAAAAGAAAGAAAACAAAGACGGAAGACGAACCGAGCCGCCCTTACCGCCATTATCCGTTCTTTCATAATTATACGCGGCGGAGGGCACCTATCGATTCCACCCACCCGGATCGAGTAACGTACCCGATGGCATAGCGAAAAATATGGTACAACGAAAAATTGTTGAAAAACAGCGAAAACTGGATACTGAATAGGTGGAGGAGGTAGATTCAAACTTGATTTCACATAATTCTTGTACTAGTAGCTCTTCCTAACTGCTTGGTATTTGCTTGATTTGGGTTTTCATTTTATTGAACCATTTCATTGGTATCGCATGTCGGGATTTTTCGTTGTACCATATTTTTCGCTATGCTATCGGGTACGTTACCGTACCGTACAGTACAACCACCGTTGGACTACGGCATTGTACGTTACCAGGGAATAGACAGCGTGCCGTACGAGTACAGTACAGGCACTGTACTACTTGTAGTCAACCATCATGTTCAAAACTCAAATCAGCAAAGGAAAAGAAAAAAAAAAGATACGGCGCGGGGTAATTTATAAAATAAAATAAAATAAAATTGCAGGAGGCACTGTTCCTCCCCCTTATAAGGTACAAGTACTGTACGGTATCATACCCATCGCCAATGATACTGTACCGTATCATACGTGCCGACCGAGTACAGTACCATACCATACCATACGATACCATACCGCACCTCCCATTCCATTCGCACTTTTTACTTTACTTTACTTCACTTCACTTCACCACACCCGCCATCTTTCACCCGCCAGCCACCGCAATCGATACCCATTTCCGCTTTCGAATTTTTTGTTCTAAATTGGGAAAGGGACGTTTTTGGAAGGTGGAATAATACAGTTTTCTCCCGTGTATGGCAGGCACTTCACTTCACTGGATTGATTGATAAGAAAGCGATCGATGGTTTGTTTTCGACCCCATCAATCAACAAGGCCATGAAAACGGAGTGGCGGTGAAAGTAGCTACTGTAAATCATGTCATATCTGGTCGGGATCGGATGAATGAATAGATGGATGTCGGTGGTAATAATATCATAGTATGAAATGAAATGTCGCGCATCACTACCATATCCGCCACTCGTAGAATCCAAAAATAGGAATAAGGTTAGACTAGACGCTTTGTACTTGTACCGGTACTTGTACTAGTAAGAAACAAGGGATTCCCCAGCATGTTAGAATCGGTATTCTAGAAATACTGTACTGTACTTGTGCTTGATACCGGTATCTGGTATTACCGGTATGTGAATATGAACGTGCCGGGGGTTTCCCTAGAAATGCCTTGGATGGGATGGGATGGGATGGGATGGGCGGCAGGCAGGGAGGCAGGGAGGCATTGCATTACGGTACTGTGCAGTACGGTACGGTAGGTGAACTAGCACTGCCGACACAGTACAGTACTGTACGAGTACTCGCACAAGTGTTCTCCCTCAGAACCTTAATCCTACCCGTAAACTGTACACCGGTAGCCCGTCCAACGTGCTAATTGGTACAGTACGGGTACAGTACAATAGTACAGTACACTACGGAAGCCCACACACCCGCGAGTGATCCCCCATGAAAGCATGAGCCCAAGGCTCATTCATCCATTATGCCTAACCCACCGCCTACCACCCATCGCGCATATACATCACGTCGCATCATACCCAGGAAGGTGTGAGGAAGGAAGGAAGGAAAGGAAGAAAAGGAAGGAAAGGAGGCCCGGCACCTATCGTATCGCATCGCATCGTATCGTATCGTAGGAGCACAAGGATTTTTCTGAAACGTCCATCATGTTTTCCTAACCGCTGGGAGGCGGAAGTGCACTTTCTTTTTTTTTGGCCCATTTTTCTGCCGTCATCGTCGGCATGATTTTTTTCTTTATTCGAGTACGGTACCGGTACCGGTACTATTGTGGCATACCAAGCTTTTTTCTTTTTATTTCTTACTTTCTTCCCCGCCACCCCCGCCACCCCCCCCACACACAACCTGAGTCTTGAGAAACGCCTAGATTAGATTCGGGAAGATGATTAAGCTATGGCAAGGCAAGTTTGGGTTTTTTTAGAATGTGCTTTGTGGGGTTAGAAAGGAAGGAAGGAAGGATGTGATCGGCCTACCGGTACCATATCTGTGGGGTGTGGCTTTGAGGCTGGGAGGGTGGGAGGAAGTGGGTGTGTGTGGGTGGGTTGTGTTACTGTGCTCTAAAGTTAACTGCGACGGAGTACCGGTTACTGTACTTGTGCTAGTACGGTACAAGTAATCGTGCAAAGTACGCGGTAGTGCTTCTAGGAAGTGATGGGTTGTGCTGGAGGAATTTCTGTGGAGTGCGGTTGGTTTGCTCGAGTGCTTGTACGATAGGTGCAGCAACCTTTTTTATCGCGCGAGTGCAGTATCGCGCTGGATGGGCGGAGGAGGGGAGCGGAGAAATGGGGCTGCGCGGGATTACGGTACGAACAGTACGGTACAGTAAAGCACTGCACGATAGGATTGGGAAATTTGGCTTGCGACATTGGCTTCTTGCAGGTGCTGGATGAGGGCCGCGGCTTACATATACGTGCAGAGTAACTGGTACATCGAGTTGGTGGCGGTACAATACCGTAGCTTTCTGAGTGGGGAAAAGATGCTTTGTGGTTCTGTCCGTGATACGGGATTGGATGCCATGCCATACCGTAACCCTACGGTCGTGTGAGCAATGGCGTGGTGCGGCTGTACCGGTACTAGTACTTGTACTCGTACTGGTACAGTTGGGTCGGGACCAGTACCGCAGGCAGGCAACAGGCGATTACCGCAGCGAGCTGTCCGCCGTTCTTAAACGGTCCAAGGTGGAAAGCAAAGCTCGGATAACCGACGAGTAGAAAGTCGGCGGTACGATACCGGTTAAGTTCCCAAACCCGGCGAGCAATGCCTTCAATCCAAGCTTAACCTATTATATGATACCCACAATCCGTCACCTGAAATTTGTCACCCTCGAAGGAGCTAGATGATGAAGCACGAATGCGAGACTCAAACATGATTGCCGGACCCTTCCGAGTTTCTTCCTTTCTTCATTTTTTTCCCCCTCTCTGTTCCTTCCTACCTCCTCCCCCTACAACGCGGCAGCGCGCACAGCTTGAAGCAGCAGCGGTATAGCGACAACCCCAACGGAGGGTCGCAACAAGGTACTGTACTGTACCGGTAGGAGAACAAGAGAGAGAGGGAAAGCCGCGGTTGCAAGAGTTGGTATCACGCTGTTAAGGAAGCTCGGTTACTCGGCGGTATGTGTGATCGATGTTCGGGAGGGAGGGAGGCTCCATGCCTCAGCCCTTCCTTTTCAGCTTTGCGCTGCTCCCTTGCGGTTTGGGAATTGAAACACAGCCCCTTCAACCTTTCTTTTTTCCCTCGCTCATTTGTTCACTCCCGGGGAAAATAAAAGAATAATGACGATAATAAGTAAATAAACCCCGATTTCGACAAGCGCGATCAGCACATGCAGCGTATTTATAGCCACAGGTCATCTCTCTCGGGAGAAACTCTTAGTGATGCCTGCTATTGGGCGCTTTTCGGGGTTGGGTTGAGGGCTATATTTCATTTGTTCTGGTCTTGGGAAGCGAGGGGCGGCTTTTGCACATTTCTGGGTGGGTTCGCTGCTTGATCTGGAGGCCCTTCATAGCGGTGTCTCTCTTGATTTGGCTCGGGGTGTGTGGGTGGGAAGGGCTGTGGGTGGTGGAGGTCACGGTTTGTTTTAATTTTTTTTGCTTTTACTTCGTTAATTGAGAGTTGAGTTGCTCCCGCTGTGACAGTCTAGCTTTTATCGTGGTTTCCCCCCCCCTCTCTCCCACCGCTTGGGGAGAAGAGGATGGGCCGACAGTTGGGAGAGATTACTGTACTGTACCGCAGCTGTAGGGTCGCAGAGCGTCCAGTGAGGGTGTGTGTACCGGTACGTTTGTGTCATGGTAAGGAAGATCAACGATACTATGGACTGAGCCATGATAAGTGAAGCCTGTTTCTGCTTGACTGCTTGACTTCTCCCTTCTTGACCCCGGCGGTTCTACCGGTATTGTTTCCTCTCCTTCTCCCTGCCTCTCTCTCTCTTGCTCTCTCTCTCTCCCTCCCCTCCCTCTCCTCTCCTCTTTGTCTCTCTCGTTTATCGTTCTTCAGGAATTCGATCCCTTCATACCTGTACCGTAATAGCACAAGTAACCTTTTTCCTTCTTTCCTTTTTTTTTCTTTTTTCTTGCCCTTTCCGTATTGCTGTAACTGTACTGGTAACCCTATCTCCAAACGTCTCCCTCCATCACACACTCTCTCCCTTAGCATTAGCCTCAATCCTCAAGCACCGTACCGGTACCGTACACTCTCTCTCACTTACCCTCTCTCCCTTCCACCTCTTACGCCCCCTCTGGCTCTACAGCTACCACCCCGGTCACTCATTGCCGGCCCCTTCCTTCAAAACTCTACCCCCTCCCAATCCGTTCATCATCAGCAGGCCTGTCAGAAACCGATCCAGCTCATTCTCACACCAAGCAACCTCCCCCTCACGAACACTTTCTCTACCTCACCTCACCTAACCTAAACTCGTGTTTCCCGACCGGAGCGCCACATAGGTATCCTCTCGGCTCTTTCCTCTTCTTCCCTTCTCCTCCACGCTCCCTTGTGTCCTTCGTTCAATCTCCCTTCTCGTCCCTCGCTAGCACCTGATCCCCACACATTCTCCCTTCCTGTTTTTCTTTGTGCTTGTTTCGTCTCTTCCGATTGTTGTGTCTTGCCAACACAAACAATAGGGGATAAGTTCTAGGGATAAAAATAAAACTCTCCACCGCGACAGGAGGAAGGGAGGCAGCTCGACCAGCGCCTTTGGATAACGAGAAAGGGACGGTCGATCGGAAACGGGTTGGAGAAAAAATAAATCCAGCCAAGGGTTACGACGACTTCGCTCTGAAGGTCCGGCTCTTCAGTGTCTCTTTGTTCGTTCACATTTCAGCCCTCGTTAACATTCGATAAAGCCGTCAAAATTCCCTACGACAGCAGCAGAAATTCCCTCCTCGGAGGTGGACTAATACCCCAGACGCGATCAAGGATGATCTACCGACCCACCTCATTATGGAGCTGGAGTTTCCTCCTCCTTGCGGTCGTTCAATCATGTGCTGTGTTGGGCTTTGAAGGGTGCGCTTTTCCTCCAACTTCCACTACTACTGGCGACTACTGCCTCGCTAGCGCCCTTTTTTTTTTTTCCTCTTTAAGCGATTTGATGGTCCCTGAAGCTAATACCCGAGGCCCTTTGGGATAGTTATATATTCGCTGCCTTCCAGAACAACCTGCACCAGGACTATATCAACAGAAAGGGAACCCCCTTTGAACAAGCGCAGACACGGACCATCCCAACGTAAGTTTGCTGCACCTATCGGTACCTATCTTTTAGCGATAAAGGATCGCGATACAGAAATGTGTCTAACCGATGTTTGTTCTATAGATACCTGACCCTCTTCATCTTCGGGCATTTATTCCTCGTGGTTCTTTGCTATGATGCGCTTAGATTGAAGAACACCATTCAGGTCATTGGCATTTGCATCTTCAATGCTGCACTGCTTGTCTATGCTGCTATCCAGATGGATCAGATTCACGATGCCAATACTTTCTTGACGAGGCTTAACATTGGACCTGACCCAAACGCTACGGGTATTAAGAGGAATATCTGGCCAGTGATTCAACCGTCTTTGATTGCAATTCCCTGCGTAATCGCCTTGTCGACTGTATTGATGTGCGTTATTTGTTGGAAGCTGTATGACGAATTTGCATGGACCATCTACAAGCATATTTCTGCGGATTTGAAAATGAAGGAGAGATATCTCAAGTTCCAGGTACGTCATTCCTGATTGAAGCCCACTTCTTCGGGGGGGCCCCCGTGTTGACCCTTGTTGCATATAGATCTTCATTGCTCTTCTCAAGTTTGATTTCTTCTTCTTTGTTGGATTCACTGTCCAGTTTATCGTCATTGTCGCCTCTACAACGGGCTATCTCGAAATAGGAGGCTCTACGTTTGGAAATACCAACAAAGACTATGAATTCTTCCTCACCATTGCTGTCCTACCCCTGACCATCGCTTTCTTGGTTCTCGCTGCTTGGTGCACAAGGAGAGAGAAGAAGATTCCCATGGTGTTCATCATTATCATCTTCTTTGCCGCGCTGGCTTACTTCGTCTTCAAGTTGGTCCGGATGTACCATGGCAGGTTCGTCGAAAGCTACAAGCCGGCGAGAAGGAGTTTGACCACTTTTGGTGAGTTGCACCGGCGTGATGTTAATGGTACTTCCTGACCATGCATGGGACAAATTATTGACTTTATACAGCCGTGATCACACTGATTCTTATCATTTTGACCATTGCGAACGCCATCGCCTGCGTTATGAACTTCAACAAGGGCTTGAAACCCCACATCACCCGGAGAAAGATGACGGACGAGGAGGAGAAGCACAGCATGACTGAAATGACCAATCACGCGGCTCAGCCGATGCCATCGCGAATGACGATTGACTAAAAACCTGGCTTCAACCCCGATGGCAGTTTTATGTTCTGTCTTGTCTTTGTCGGCCTCTTGGGATAGGAGGGCGGTTTTTTATCTTCCGCGGCAGTCAGTTATTTTGCTTTTACGGAATGATGTGACAAATCATAAATCGTGAGGTTCCCCTGGAACTCTTATCCTAATTAACCCACCTATGGGCTTTCGGATCGTTTTGATGTCTTGTAGAGAAAAAAAATGGTGTATTTGAGCAGTGTTTTCTTCTAAATTTTTCTTTGTTCTTTTTTCTCTCCTTCTCTCTCCTTCTTCTCTCTCTCTCTTTTGCTATTCTACCGGGGTCACTTTTCTGCATGAATAATTTTCACATGGTGTTTTTTTGTTGCTTTTGTTTCATGTGTTACTCTTCCGGGATACCCTCAAGTTTTTGAAATGGATTCACTTTCAGGGACACAACGAGACTTTGGAAGGGCAAGGAGGGATGATTATGAGGAGGGTGCATATCATAGTGGGGGGAACCAAGGGAGAGGGGGGGGTGGGGCGCATGCAGGCCGTTGATATTGCGCGGGCTGTAGTGCGGTGAAGCGGGGTTAGGAAAAAAATCTCCAAAGTTTCGGTGGGGCTTAGTCCAAACCACGCGTCCACTGAGCCACCGATCTAACTGGGAGATTGATTTGAAAAGAAGAAAAAGAAAGTGAGCAACGGCCCCCTTGATGTTGCGAAGTAAATACCTACTCGTGGTTTGGAAGCCTTGGGAGGGGTGTTGGATTCTTTAAGAAATTTATTCCATTTCATTACATTTTATTTTATTGCCCTTTTCTCGCGGGAGAAACATCCCTCTTTCCAAAGCGCGTAAGGGAATTGGGGTGGGATGGGATGGAATTAGTGTAGCTGTTCTCACGAGTTTCCTTTGCGTTTTCGTTTGCGTCTCTCTGCTGTGCCTTAACTTTTTATTTTATTTTTTATACCTTACTTACCGCCCTTTATAACTCTTCTCATGGACAGCCTTTTTTATATAATACCATATTATATTTATATATATACATATATATGCCGATTTCTCTAGCAATCAAGTAATGTTTTTGAGTCTTTGGATGTTGGCTCGGTGGGTTGAGGCAGGAAATTGGGGGGAATTGAGAAGGGGGAAGTATGACACTTGACAGTATCATACCGCACGGGCATGGGGAGTAATAGAGTTTGGAGGTTGCGATGTTTACGCGCAGGTACGGTCAGGTGGTTGAAGGTGTGTTTGGGCCCGGGTGAGCTGGGGCGGAAAGAAAAAAGGTCATCTTCATCATTACCTTTGTGAGTGGGGGGATAAGCTGCGCTTGATGCTGTACGATTAGCTTGACCATGGTCCGGTAACCACTCCAAGCTGTACGACGACAAACAAGCTGTTGTAGCGTGGCCTACGGTACCGTACAGTGCCTACGAGTACAGTACTGTAGCTGCTTCCTCCACCAACCATCACCTGCATTGCACCAGCGCTGGTGCAGTACAGTATGAGTGCAGCTACCTTTGTAAAGGCTAGAATACAGTACAATACAAGTACAGTACGTACCATAATACCACCACTCTTCACTTTACACAAATCAGAAAGAAAGCAAGAAATAAAGAAATAAGGAACAAATCTGAAGCAACCCCAACCCAACCCAATCCGAACCCGTTACAAATCACGCAAGCCCCCCCAAAACCCAAACCCAAACCCAAACCCAAACCATTCCCATTCCCATCGCCATTAACCGTACGTAACCCACCATTCCAATTCCCAATTCCCGGCAACCAACAACAAAAAACCCGCAAAGTCTCACCCAAGTTTCAACAAGACAATCAAAACGATCGGGGAGAAAGGGAATGAAAAAAAAAAAAAAAAAAAAAAAATCAGTGCGGAAGTCGCTGCTTGCTCAATTGCACATACAATCTATTGACGCGTAACTGTATAGCCTGTAACGTCGCTAATAACACCCAACCATTCCAATTTTCCAATTTTCCAGGAACCTCATCAGCTATCCGAGTATGCCATGTACGGGTTTAGGAGGGGAAGGGGATTTATATATTACTATTAACTGCTGCCAATCGCTTACTAGTGCTCGCGAGTTTGATGATCGTGGGTCGGAGACTTGGAGGGTCGGTGGTGTCTAGGTAGTTTTGTAATTCTTTTTTTTTTTTCAAAGGGCTAAGGGTTAGACTACGGTAGTTGGTGAAGGAAGGAAGGAAGGAAAGAGGGAAAGAAGGAAGGGGGGGAGGGGTTGTTTACGGGTAATTAGACGGTCGAGTTCCTGGGAGAGGGCTTGCTGGGATTGATGCACTTGCAGGAGTTTCTCCGTGGTTTGCTTGACGGTTGGGTCCAAGAGGGACTTTATCCCCGTGCTTAGAGGGTCCGTTGCTCGTGGGGGGGTGCTGAGTTCTGGGGTCGGGGAGACGTGTGAGGTTGGGGAGGACATTTTGGGGGTCCTTCCTTCCTTCTTTGATTTTTTCTTCCCTTTTTTGGTGCGGTTGCGGTTGGTTGTGGTTGTGATGGGAAGAGGAGGTGGAGTGATGGTATAGATTGATTGATTGACTGATGGATGAAGGGAGGGAGGGAGTGAGTGAGTGTGGTTTCGAATGAGCAGAGCAAACTAACGACCGGCAACCATGTTCGGTGGTGTAGTTGGGACCAGACCCAGACGACGACAGAGTGAGAGTATGATCAAATCGATATTTTATTCACGGTTTCATCCGGGGAAAGGTTATCCCCCTCCCCTCCTTCTCATCTGTCTCATACTGCTATAATTATAAAACCCAACTAAACACCGGAAACAAATTCCTACTCTTTTACTGCACAGGCCCGCAAGTAGTTCACCAGGTCCCCTCGGGCTCCGTGACTTCCACCCCCCCACCGCCACCGCCCTCCACCTCCACCGTCTCCTCCACCTCCGCCGCCAACAGCGATGGAAATCACCCCGCTCCCATGACCCCACCGCTGCCCCCAACCTCCCCGCTACCCACCTCCCCCCCGCTCTTCGACTTCGAAACCGTCAGCGAGTACATCATTCCCAAGCAGGAGCTCTGCGACCGCCTTGTGACCGTCTGCACAAACAAGTACCGCATCCTGGGCTACCCGGTGTGCCTGGAGGACGGGAAGTACGCGCGCAACGAGTTCATCTTCAACTTTGCCATTGTCCTCGACGAGGGCGTCGAGTACAGCACTTACAAGAGCGTCGTCAGGAAGGTGGCTAAGCTGTTCAGGGCGCTCGAGGAGCAAAGTGGCTTCCTCAGCAATGAGGTCACCGCTATGGGTGTGTTTGCCTTGATTGAGCAGGTGTTGGAGGATTTGAATAATTATTCCGAGTGCATGATTCCTATCAGTAGGTGTTTTTCGGCCCTTTCTATTTTGCTTGCTTTCGGGAGTGGGAGGATGGCTAATGGTGTCCCGGAGGGGGGGGATAGATGAGAGCAATACGATCAATATTAAGCTATTCCCGACGTATGCTCCGCCGCCGCAGGTTAAGGCTTTTCATGTACCGGTTTGTACGGTGCAGTTGGAGAATCTGATGGACGTTAATTGGGATCTAACCATGCAGAAGGTCCATCACCCTTGGGCCCCAGATGGTCAGTTGTTGTGAGGGTTAATAAGCGCTATGATAGATCGTCCCTTTCATCGATGGTATAAATTCTGTCAGAAGGATATCGGAACTAGCAGATGCAGATTACAACCTCACGAGGAAGTGCATCGAGCATTTACTGTATCCTCTTCCCCCCTGTTCCATATTATGTTATGTCTGGGTGGCCCTAGCTAACAGCTACATATATAAACAAAAAGGTACTATGGGTGCCTAATAATGGTCGATGTCTTCCAGTTCAGCGCCATATACGCTTGCACCGCTGAGATCTCGATACTAGTGCAGGATCCCAGTTTACAAGAAGAGTGTCAAGCCTACGTCTCCTACAGCAGCCCTCGCATTCCGTTCCCCTTCCTCCTGCAGCTCTACACATCCCTGACTCAAGGCCTTACCCTGAAGAAATGGTGCATGGAAAACGCAACGAAACTCAAGGGGATAGACGTCCGTCGCTTCATCTCCTTCGGAATAGTCAAGGGCTTTCTCTACCGTAGTCACAGGTACCCGGTCCCCGCGGAGGGGAAGGTGGACAAGGCGTTGCCGTTGGCGAGGTACCTAGATGGAGGTCACCATTTCGATGAGATTTGCACCGACCTGCAGGCCAGCGAGAAGGAGGTTATGGGGATGTTGGAAGGCCGGGATGTGCAGATTGTTCATCGGTAGATGTGTTTTTTCGTTTGTATTCTCATAGAGGGATCACATTCGTTCGTTCATTCATTCATCCGCGTAATGCACGATATATCGGTGTCTGGCACGTTATAGTATAGCAGCGGCTTAATCTGTCCGTGGAATTAATACTCCCCATCTTTTTGGGGAATAGCTACCCGGCCATCCATAACATGATATCCACCTCATTCCACCTTAGTGGACAAGCGACCCAACCTGGCCCGGCCCAAGCCAACCCGAACGACCGAAAAAGAAGTAGAAGGGGGAGGGGAAAGACGATAGCAAACCAACCCAGTCGATCTATCGACCACCCCTCAGTGCAAGAACCAAATGCAACGTAGCCCCCCCTTCAAGGTTATACTCGCTAGCAGCTTTATCATCCGCCCTACACCATTTCCCGACCACAGAGCCAATCAATCAACAAACCGCCCTTCACATCACATCATATCGAAACACAAGAAGGGAAAGGAACCAACATCTGCTTCCCACCATAAATCAACCTCTGCTGAGCCGGAGGAATCCCCTCCTTCTCCTCCACCAGCTCCTTGATACGAAAGACTTTGTAATCCGGTTCAATGTCCAGCTCGATTTCCTTGCCCGTGAGGGTGCGAACTCTACATGTTGTTAGGTGCCGGATCTGAATCAGGTTAGATTCGATGTGGGTGGACTTACTTGATGAGCATTGTGGAGGTGTTTTCGAGGAGGTGGTATTGTGATTGTGGCTGTTGGGGTGGTGGTGGCGGTGGTGGTGAGAGGGTGAGGTTTGAGAGGTTTGTTAGGAGTTGGTTTATCGTTTTGAGGATTTTTTTTTTCTTTCTTTCCTTCTTTCTTTTTTTTTTGTCTGTTTGGCTTGTTTGTGGTGGTGGTGGTGAGGATCCGGAGGAGGGTGGGTTTGTAGATGGTTAGGAGTCTGGATGAGTGCGAGTGAGTGTGAGGGCGAGGTGAGGTGAGGAGTGGGGGGGGGGAGGTTTAGAGTCAGTCAGTTACCTGAGGCGAGGCTGTTACGTTAATTGGCTGATCCCCTTGGTTGGTTGGGTTCTGGCGCATTAGTCAGGGATTACTGGTACTTTTGTGCTTGTATGATATGCTGGGTATGATACAGTAACTTATCGTGCCGGTGGCTAGGTATGATACCGGTATCAGGGGCGCTTGCGGGTCATGTGCACGCACTCGCTTTGGTGCTGCAGGGGTAAAAAATGGTGTTGGGTCCGGCTTTGGTTCTAGAGCATTGTGCCGTTGGGCATCTGAGTATCGCGGGAGTATGAATGTGTCCACACAAAAACGGGCCACTGCACACCGCCTTCAAGTACAGGCAACACTTCTAATGGTTGTGAGCGAGTGGGTGCGTTTTGGGGTGTTTGTTGACGCTCGCTTTGGAACTTGGGATGGGTGGTTGTGAGTTGTTCGTCGGTCGCTAACCTCGGGCATTGGAGTGCGGACACTCTGAAGTCTACTCTAGTAAAGGCGTGTTTTATCTATTCGGTAAATACTCCTATCCTTCATGATAGCCTTCGAATGAAATATCCTCATGCGTGTCAGGAGATTGTGCACTCCTTACTCCTGTTCGATTGCTACTAAAACTACACCATCTCAATAACGGAGCAAAAATAGTTCCACAGCTTTTTGAAAGCTTTCGGTTGCGGGATAGTGTTATGGCCAAGTACCAAGAAACTTCTAACAGAACTCCCAAAAAACGATTCATGACAAATAGTATCATCCGTTCTTGTCTTTATCCCTCGCACAACGGCCAGAAGTACAAAGGCAAAAAACAAACTTCGCGTCAGCTGGAGACAGTGCAATACCAGCGACACGGTGGGACCAAGCGTGGCGAGCCAGAAGCAGGGTCCCCCAGACAAACAAAAATAGGATTAATCAAAAAACAGACTCCGGAGAGTCGTTTCAGAGATTAAACTGAAAAGAACAGATACTACACTTGATCTAAGCCTGGTTCATAGTTAGTAAATGCGAGAGAAGAGGGACTGAAGTTGCGGTTGACTCACCAAAAGGCAAAGAGAGCTGGGGAGGGAAGAGGGAGGTGGAGGGGACCGCCTTATATAGGGAAGTCGGATGGTGCCAAGGGATTCAGTTTTGGCCGCTCGTGCCATGAGTTTAGGGCTTAGGAAGAGGGTCTAAGTACGCGACGTATGATATCATAGGATTGCGGCAGCGTTGTCGTATCATACCGTAGGGTGCGCGGTAGATGAGGGTTAGGACACCCTTATGGAGGCCCGAGCTGGTGGGAACGTCGAATTCGGTGGTACCCTACTGGCGGATTTAGCGATACTTTCTACGCATGCTCGCTGGTGGAATCTGGAATGGCTCATGGCGCGACAGAGCCCCCCCCAATACAACCTCACTGGCCAGTGCTGGCATCTTACTGTAGAGGGGTGAAGGAGAATATCAAGATTTGGTTGATTCAGCGTGTGGGATCAACTACTGTAATGGGGCAATCGAAGAGGCACTTAGCAAGGGCCAATAGACTTGCTTTCAAAGGGGTTAGAGCAAGCGCGGGTATCAGCGGTGTGTATCAATTACTTGGTGTATGCTGAGTTTGCCATGTTACTTGAACTCTCCACCGTTAAGCCTTGTGGTGTGTATAGCACTACCGGTAGCTGCCCAGGCCGCTGTTATGGCCAGCAATACTTTACTATACTGCTGGAATGATTGGCTCCGTCTCAATGTCCCTTATCGCATACCGGCATGGGAGAAATGAAAAGCAGGAGACCAGAGCTTCCATAGGAAATCCTCCCTTCATTTAGCCACTGTGGGATGCTATGGAATGCTTCCTGGCACCTTAGGAATATCAAGTGGCTTGGATATCGACTTGCCACTTTTAACAAAATATTCCACCCACAGAATGTGATCTTTGTCTCAGATGGATAAGGCGCACCGATACCCGGGGGGCGTCCCGTTCTGCTCCATGGGTCTCGGGGGATCTGCGACGCTCCTTATGCGGTCTTGGAATTGAGGAGCCCAAAAAAAGGCGCTCAAAAGGATTAGCGTCTATCTGGCCCTGACTTCCGGTATTTGTGATTCCTTCCCCGCCAACCCCCCCGAGAGTCACTCGCGATGGCTGGTCCCGACGAGAGGTGGAGGTACCGGTATATGATACCTTCAGCCGGTTCCTGCTGAAAATTTTCTTCCTTCACTGTTTTGTTTCTACCTCGCTCCTTCAATATAATTTCATTAAATTTGCTGTTACTTCTATCTTTATCTAACCGTGCTTTTGTGCGATCAAAATAGTAGAAGTTGTCTGAGTAGCGCGGTGAGAATTAGATTATCCCCGGGCGGTATATTGTTGAGTTTTCAAACGATAGGCAAGTAAGGGTCCAAGCTGATGTATGTGCCTTGCCCCCACATGTTTGCTGTTAATTTCTAATGATGAGTTAGCCTGTTGAGGGGTTTTATAACGTCTTGTCTACCCAAGGGATAAAGGTTACCCCTCAAGTTAATATTACCTCAGTTGTATTCCTTGGAACATCTTTTACCGCTGTTAGTGATGACGGTAATATCCCGGTGGAGGTTGCGGCCCTTGAGGGTGTTTCGAGAATTTGGCCCGTGAGCAGGATACCTAGAACTATCCCGGAGATTCATGAAGTTGGGCGAAAGGCTGTTGTGGCAATCGTGATTACCTCCACCCGTTTATAGTGCTTGGGCTGATCCCCCTAGGTTGATACAGGAATAGACTACACTCACCCCCCCCCCCCTCGGCGGTGGCTTCGGTCCGGCGTTCAAAGTTGTTGGGGGAATAGATGTTGTTGGCGACAATTACGAGGGCACAAACTTCTTCCCAGATCCAGATCCTTACGATTGCTCCGGTCACGGGACCCACGTTGCTGGAATCGTGGCTGGTGAAGACAAAAACTTCATCGGGGTAGCTCCTAGGTCAAAGCTTCTCTCGTATAAAGTCTTCGGATGCAGGTGCGATGGCACAGGACAAGATGTGTTGATACAAGCTTTCGTCCAAGATTATGGAAATGAGGCGGACATTATCAATGCTTCTATTGGAGGTCCCGGAGGCTTTCCAAGAGATGCTTGGGCAACTGCATCCTCTAGAATTCTCCAGCAGGGTATCTTTACCATCTCTCCTGGTAATAGTGGTGATCGTGGGCTGTTTTATGCTAGCTCCGGAGCAACGGGAGTAGATATTATGTCCGTTGCGTTGATTACAAACGAGGAGTACTTTGCATTTAAAACAGAGGGGGTATCGGGAGATAGTACAAGAAGGACATTGCTTATTTCCAGAGTGGTGTGGAGGAGTTCAAGCTGGCCGGATCAGTACCTGTTTATGTCACATCTCTGGATAAATTTGCCAGAAACGATGCCTGTGCGACTCTGACTCTGCCAGAAGATACTCCGGATCTCTCTAGATATCTGGTTGTTGTGAGACGTGGAGGTTTCTAGTTTAACATCAAGGAGAAGAACCTGGTGGATAAGAATGCGACATATATCTGGCTTTGTAATACGCCCAAGACACCGATTGTGTATCCCGGTATCGAAGAGTCCTCTTCCAATTTGCTATGATTGCCGGACAGAATGGAGAGTTCATTGTGGAGCAATTTGCAAGCGGTGGGAAAGCTACATTGAACTTTCTGCAGGAACCTCAAGGAGTAGGAATCAACAATACCTCGACTGAGGGCAAGATGCTCCCTTTCACTTCTTGGGTGCCATCATTTGAAGCGCAGTTTAAGTCTGAGATTAGTTCTCCTGGAGGTTATATCTACTCCACCATTCCAGTGAAGCAAGGATCGTATGCTGTGTTCAGTGGAACATCTATGGCATCTCCGTAAGCCCTCCCCAGATCCTAACAGTGTGCAAATTATCATAAGCAGATATATCGTAGGAGTGGCAGCACTTTACCTGAGCAAGTTTGGCAGTCGCAAGCAGCTAGGCTATGCTGGGGTTATAGAACTCAAAAACTGTATGATCTCGAGCGGTACTCTAGTAAACTGGAAGGACAGCACCAGGACGGATCCCACAAGACTAGCTCCAGTAGCCCATCAAGGGGCTGGCTGCGTGAACGCTCTCGAAGGTTGACCAACACCACCACAATCTCACCCGGAAGACTTGAACTAAACGACACAAAAAAAAACTTCAAACCAGAACATACCAGAACCGTCCGGAACTCTGGTAACCAAGAAGCCACATATACTTTCACCCACGAAGTCTCCAGGACAGTGAACACTTTCAAGCGTGGGTCAAAAGTCTCGCAAATGTTCCTCCCAACCTTCGTCAATGGCTCCGCAGCCCTCCAGTTCCTCCCACAAAATATGACTATACCAGCACACAGCAACGGTACCTTCAAAGTAGCCTTCACCCCACCAAAAGACTTGAAAACCACACAGCTACTAGTATACAGTGGTAAGGTAGTGGTAACGTCCTACGGAGAGACTCTCTCAATCCCACACCAAGGCATCCATGGCAACCTTCGGGACTTGAACATCTGGAAAACCGAGCAGTTCCCCTTCATAGCGTCCTATCTCACAGGAAACAAGATCCGGGGGCTAGTCACGGTAACCCTCTCCGGGGGCGACTTGCTAACAGCAGTTTTCGCGAATACCTTTGGCACACCGGTGGTTCGCTGGGACGTGGTCACTGAATACTACGATACAAATAAATTCCTATACCCACCTATCGCTGGGGAGAGGGGATTTGTTGGATCAGTGAGAACGCTCAAGGGAGGGGTGGATTTCCCCATTTTCTATGCGCCTAGACATGATCCGCTAGGGATGGAGTTTTCCTGGTTTAATTGGGGTGGGGGATCGGCCAATGGAAGTAGTAGAATTGCCAACGGGGGATATCAGTTTGTGTCCATGATGCTGAGGGTTGCAGGGGATAGGAGGAAGGTTGAGGATTGGGAGACGGTCGCTACGAAGGTTGTTACTATTGCTTCAAAGCCTTAGGCTTATTTATCTAAGGAGGGGGGAAAGCTGAGGTATGAAGGGACTGCTTTTCTTGTAGATATTTTTGAGCTGTATTTTTCAGGAGTGCTCAGCAGATGTGTTAGATGGTGGCTAAGTGAAGTTGTATGGGCATTGTTCCGTAGTCAATTCAGAGTGGATCACTACAGATCACTACAAATGATATTAACAATGGAGGCCATTTGGTAACGTGTCAGAAGCCAAAACACATTCCAAAGCCCGGAGTTTTCGAACAAGCGCTATCCATCCACCACTGGGGGGGGAACAGCGTAGGGAAAGGGGAGAAAGAGAAAAGAAGCAATCAATTACAATAGCACCCTGATAAAAAAATTAAAAAAAATTGAGGATGTTCCCTTCAATCCTCTCAGCGAATCCCCCCAGAATGAAAAAGTAACGGAACGTCCTTTCCCAAAAAAACCAGGGTATTGGCGTGAGCGGTGGATTACAGCCAGACTCATTCAATTCAATTCAATTCAGGTTGTCCAGTGCCCACCGCACTGCTGGGACTCGAGGATATCATATAGTATAGTTAGATTTCTAAGTTACCTTTGAGACATGCCGAGGGAGGTTTCTCCCAATCTTCCTCCGAGACATCCGACACGAACAGCTCGGGAGCCCGCAATTTTGGAGCACTCTTTTGGCCTCCGCCCCGTCACGGGCCGACCTCTACTGTGACGGTGATAATTTACTATCCGAATACCGAGTGATGTTCTGTGAATGAGTGGGTGGAGTCCCTTGGAATAAAAAAGGTTGCCGTATCATGCTGGACCGATGCCGCACGATGGGGATCCGCCAGTACAGTACCTGCACACGCGGAAAGACGGGCTACACACCTCTGCACGAAACGTCCAGAGGTTCATGGGGGGAATTAAAAAGCTCCCCTCAATTGCGGATTATGGTACCGTGCGGACGAGAAATGTTAGTGCTATATAGACCAACGTACTGCAATCATACCGTGCGGCGAACGCATAATATCTCTACCGCTACCTGTCCTCTGTTTTCCTACGATAGTTTCAACTGCACCGCCGATCCCAATCTCCCGGTAATATTGACAATAATAATAATGATAACAAAATGTACGCGTCATCAAGATTTGCATTGGTTATTGGATTTTTTTATACCGATGTCCCATAACTAAACCAGCCAGATATACTCCATCTATGCAAATCTGATTGATGAAGAGGAGATTTAAGAATGAAAAAAAAAATGAAAAAACAGTAACTTGAGGCAGTAATAATAGTAACGATAATAGATGAATAAAGTGGAGGAATCATCTCCTGCCCTGTCTACTGCCCAGGATACCGCCAAGGCCGCTTCCAAGGCCTTTCTTAGTGCGTCTCTTGCTGGTGTTTGCTCCACCTGGGCCACCGCTGCTGGTAGAGGTAACACCGTCGAAGGGACCTTCGTCGATTTCCATCTCGTCGTCTTCGCCCCAACCTCCGCTACCGCGGATAGCACTCTCATCACCTTCGCTGATGACCCTTTTCCCCTTCCCGGCCACGCCTCCTCCACTCGGGACTCCCGAAGGAATCCCCGGGCCCATCCCGCCACCGCTGCTCCCACCACCGCCCTTTTCTTCCGACTTGATAATTTCCTTCCTCATCGCCACGACCCTCTCATACTCGTCTGCGGCTCTCTTCCTGGCAATTGCCTCACGCTGCACGCATCGCACCTGCTCATCGATATCTCCAAGGACGTCCTCGCATTGTCGGCACCAGTTCTTCAAAGTGGCGATCATGTCCGGGATCTCCTCCGGCGCGACGTCGCGGCCGGCAGTGCTGGACACCTCAATGCGTGCGGCCTTGGTGTCGAGTTTGGCAACAAGAAGATGTGCGTAGATTGCGCTTATGGTGAGGTCTTCCAAGGCGCGGGTGCTAGGAAGGTCAAGGGTGCGCTGGAGGGAGGTGTAGGTTAGATTCCGCGGGCCCTTGGAGGAGAGGGTTATCAGGGAGAGTTGTTTTAGCTTGTGGAGGTGGGATGCTGAGAGTGGGGGGAGGTTTTTGGCATTGTCTAGGGGTGGGTGGGGTGTCAGTTGACGCTTTTTTTTGGAAGGAGGGGGGACCAAACCTCTGTAATCACCGTACCATCCGTACGCGAAGATCTTCAGAAGGTCAAAGTATCTCCTCCCGTCGCTGGTGTTGGCGAGGGCTTGGATGTTGGGCATTTCCAGGAGCTCACTGAAGACAAAGCAGCCCGGGGCTGCTGTTGCCTGCATGACGAGGTCAGCGGCTGCTCTACCGGTAGCAGACTTGGCGAGGAGGATGAAGGGTTGGAGAGAAGTTAGATATTGCTCATCCGCCATATTTCGTTACTTTGGGTGGGTGAAGGGTGCTGTGCCGTGTTGTGGATTGCTAATGGATGGATGGATAGTCTAGGTAGATGGATGGATGGATGGTGCGGAGGTTGGGGGAGGTTAGCGCAAGTTTGTTGGTGGTGAAAACAAGCAACCTCATATGGCAGCAGCTGGCACCCGATCAGAAAGACCCGTATGATACGAGTATGGAGGCACCGTCTAGCCTTGCACGACCCCGCAATACATTAGTATTGTTCAACTGAGCTATTCGAGTGTCAGATTAGATTAATCAGTGAAACATATCTACGAGTGCGGCTGATACTCGAGTGGGTATATTCGTCACGTGAGTCTGATAAGAAAATTTCAGTGCCCTTTTGGCTGCGATGTGTCCTTAGATGAGGCACATGACGAATATATTTATCGGCCGCACTCGTACGATAAGTGAAATCTATCATAATCAGATCCGATCAGGATTCCACCCGCCTTCTGCTGAATAATATTGTGCTCACATTCATCTCCTTTGCCCGGCAGCACACCCACAGCCGCAGTGGCTATTTATGGTGCATAATGTCCCAGAGCATTTTGCGGACAGCGACACGGCCGACGAGCTATGTGCAGTGCCGGTGGGTTACTGTGCCTGCCCATATGGGTGCGGTACCAGTGCTGTGCTCGGGTACAGCAGTCCTCTTGAACCTGAAACCCCTTTAACTCTCAGCTCTACGAAGAGAACGGGGGCTATTGGTCGTATCATACGGGGATTGGCGGAAACGGATGTGATACCGTACTTGTGCGGGTACAAAGAAGGGGGAGAACGACGGGAATGGACCTCATGGGCTTTTGGCCTTAAGGGCAGCTTGAACGGATAGCTACGTAGGGATAGTGGTACTCGAGTGTTGGTGTTTTGATGGAACCTTGACCTTTGGCACAGCGGTTGTGCTCCTTTGGCCGGTGTGATGCCGACAGAAAATTGTCAAGTCTGGGGTTTTCTCGGGAAAAAGAGTCCACCAACACCAGGAGCTTTCAAGAGGGGAGAACATCTGGAGAGATGGGAGAGACTACAGCCATTTTCTGGTGGTTCGGCGATTTACGGATATGCGCCACCGAGTGGGAGACAATGTTGGGAAGGAAGGAGGAAGGGAGAAGAATTTTGTTCGGAGCGTTTATTATTTGGTGGATTCAAGTGCTGGTACTGTCTCCGAGAACAAAGAAATACCTTGAGACGGGCGAGTGATTGAGCACCGATTCTGGATAATTTAGAGCTACGCTCCGGTAACTTGAATGTAAATAAGATGGATTACCATAGTCTTGTCATGTCAGAGCTCTCCCCTTCCCACCGTACCCTTGTCTGGTTTGCTTCGCCTTGATTTCAAAGCTTGCAAGCTATTCTTGTTCTCTCAATCTCACCCCTCCTCTCAGCTCTTCCCCCATCATATTCTCCCATCTCCCCTGGTGATGGTGACAGTACTATACTCGAGTGCTACATTAGCCTACCCCCGGCCTCTATTTTACAGATCCGGTAATTGTCTTCTCGGATCCTCACCCTGAGTCAAGGGTTTTTGTTTCCCTTTTGTCCATTTTCTGGTTTTGCTGCAGGCGGCACGGCACCTCTTTCAAGCTTCCTTGTCCCCGGTTGTTCCATTCGCATTCAGCATCATTTTCTCCCTTAGAATACCTCCTCCCCACCTCCCCATACCCCCCCCTCTCCTCGTTCCTCTCCCTCCTACATAGACCCGACGCCCCTCCCAAAGGATCATCCTTCTCGCCTATCTTACATCTCGACTATCTTACATTTCTATTTAGAGGCAAACTTGGACGGTATATGGGCTTCGGTGGTAGTTGTCGTTGAAAGGGAACTTATCCCACTCCCCTTTTTTCTAAGTTTCTTCTGGTCTGTCCTTTAGTACCCGCATATAGGATTTCGACCCTCTTTTTTCTTTTCTTTTTTTCTTCCCTTCCTTGTCTGGGAATCTTCTGTCTGTTCGCGACGCCATGTCATCTCTAAAACCGGAGGATGAAATTCCCTTGATGGGCTTTGGGGACGATGCAGGGGAGGAGAAGAGACTCGCGCGGACTACCATCGCTATCGATGGAATGACGTGTGGTGCTTGCACTTCTGCTATTGAAGGTTTGTTGGTTCCTACTTTCTGTCCGGCGGAGGACACTTTTCTGACCCGCACGCGCGGTGACAATTTAGGTGGCTTCACAGAAATCGACGGGTTAGAGTCCTTCACAGTGAGTTTGATCACAGAACGAGCCGTTGCAATCCACGATGTCGCGAAACTTTCAGCCGAGCGGATCGCCGAAATGTGAGTGTTAAACGTCAAAGTTTGCAACTCCGCGGGGAAACAGCGTTAACCTGGTATGACAGAATTGAAGACCGCGGTTTCGATACAACGATAGTCTCCTCCGACATCAAGGGGCGATCGCCAAGGGGTGGGCGGAGGGGGGCGTCGGCCTCGGGATTGATCGCCACTACGATTGCGGTGGAGGGTATGACTTGCGCATCCTGTTCAAGTTCTATCGAAGGCGCTTTCAGGAATGTGGATGGTGTACGGAGCATCGCTGTAGATTTGGGTACGGACCGTGCTGTCGCCACTCACGACCCCGCAAAGATATCGGCAGAGAAGGTGGCGGAAATTATTGAGGATCGTGGGTTCGATGTGAAGATTGTGCGTTCTGAGCCTGTTGGAGGATATGGACGACGAAGCATTAGCGATTCGACACCCCATTTGGCTACGACGACAATTGCTGTGGAGGGTATGACTTGTGGTGCTTGTACTGCAGCTATTGAGGGGGGTTTTGAGGGCGTTTCTGGGATCGGAAGCTTCACGGTTAGCTTAATAACAGAAAGGGCGGTGGCGGTTCACGATCCAGATGTTATTTCTGCTGAAAGGATTGCAGAAATGTAAGCCATCGTATTATATGACGCTTGAAGTTGAAATGACTAACCAGTTTTAGAATCGACGACCGAGGATTCGAGGCGAAAATCATATCAACAGACCTCCAGGGTAGCGGGGATCGGGGTGCGAGAGAGGACACCATAATATTCAAGATTTTTGGCGCGAACTCAGAGGAGGATGCCATGAGGCTAGAGAACTCTTTCAGAACCTGTGAAGGGGTTATCGATGCTGTTGTGACATTACCTGATGCAAAGGCTGTAATCGAATACTATCCATCGAAAACTGGGGTGCGTAACCTTGCCGACGTCGCCGAGTCGTTGAACATGAACGCCCTTCCAGCTGATATGGAAGACAATAGCGCCCAGCTGGAATCCCTGGCAAAAACAAGGGAAATCAAGCAATGGCAGCACGCGTTCTGGTTTTCGCTGTATTTCGCTGTCCCGGTGTTTTTGATATCCATGGTAATTCCAATGTGGTTTAAGGGACTCGATGAGTACATCGGCCAGTTGGCTATAATACCGGGACTGTACCTGGGCGATGTCGTCTGTTTGCTGTTGACCATTCCGGTACAATTTGGAATCGGGTTGAAGTTTTATAGGAGTGCCTTCAAGAGTCTTAAGCACGGGAGTGCTACCATGGACGTTTTGGTGGTTCTTGGAACTTCGGCGGCTTTCTTCTTCTCGATCGTGGCTATGCTCATGTCTATTATGTGTACTCCCCATAGCAAGCCTAGCACTGTGTTCGACACTTCTACCATGTTGATCACGTTTATTTCCCTTGGCAGGTACATTGAGAACAGAGCCAAGGGTCAGACTTCAAAAGCTTTGTCGAGGCTGATGTCTCTCGCTCCTTCAATGGCAACAATATATGTCGACCCGGAGAGGGCAGGGTTGAGCATGGAGAGTGGCGATAGCGCAGGCGAGGAGAGGACTATTCCAACGGAACTTATTCAGGTCAGCGACATCGTGGTTCTCCGTCCAGGGGATAAAATACCTGCTGATGGAACTGTTGTTGCGGGAGAAAGTTACGTTGATGAGAGCATGGTCACTGGAGAAGCCATGCCGATCCTGAAACGCAAGGGAGCACTATTGATTGGCGGAACAGTCAATGGTGCGGGTCGTCTTGACTTACGAGTCACTAGGGCCGGAAGGGACACTCAACTAAGCCAGATTGTCAAGCTCGTCCAAGAAGCCCAAACTTCCCGAGCACCTATTCAACGAATGGCTGATATCCTCGCTGGGTACTTTGTCCCTAGCGTCATCGCGCTAGGGTTAATCACCTTCGTTGGTTGGATGATCCTTAGCCATGTCCTCAACCCCCCCCCAGCAATTTTCTCAAAGCAAGCTAGCGGCGGGCCATTCATGGTCTGCTTGAAGCTCTGCATTAGCGTCATCGTATTCGCCTGTCCATGCGCCCTCGGTTTGTCCACGCCTACCGCAGTGATGGTAGGTACAGGTGTGGGAGCAGAGCAAGGTATTCTCGTCAAAGGTGGTGCAGCACTCGAAACTGCGACGAAAATCACGCAGGTCGTCCTGGACAAAACCGGAACAATAACATTCGGCCGAATGACCGTTGCCGTTAGCAAGCAGTCTACAGCATGGGGGTCTACTGAACAGAAGTCCCGCCTCTGGTGGTTGCTCGTCGGCATTACTGAAGCTGGTAGCGAACATCCTATTGGTAGGGCTATTACCGCCGCTGCTAGGGAGCACTTGGGTCTAGGCGTAGACGGACTTCTCGACGGGTCGATCATGGAGTTCAAGGCCACTGTCGGCCGAGGCGTTCAAGCAAATGTCAAGCCGGCCGCTGAGCCAAAGGCTTACAGAGTTCTCGTTGGAAACACTAGATTCCTTAACGAAAGCGGCATTGCGGTTCCCGAAGAGGCAGTCAATGAAGCGAAGGGTGTAAGTCTTGCGGGTCAAGCCAGAAGCACCGATGGAAATACATACGTCTTTGTTGCAATTGATGGGGAATATGCAGGACTGGCAGCGCTTAGCGACGAACTAAAGCCAGACGCTAAATATGCAGTTGAGGCACTGCGCAGGCTGGGTGTCAAAATAGCGATGGTTAGTCCCCCTCTTCTGGCCGCCCACATCTCGCTAACCCCATGTACAGGTAACTGGCGACCAAGAAGCCCCGGCCCAGCAGATCGCCAAACAAGTCGGCATACCCCTCTCAATGGTCCACTCCTCTGCTTCCCCCGAGAGGAAACAGGAGATAATAAAAGCTCTCCAAGCCTCCGGTGAAATTGTAGCCATGGTTGGCGATGGTATAAACGACTCTCCGGCACTCGCAACTGCGGACGTCGGAATCGCAATGTCCTCGGGCACGGACGTGGCGGTGGAAGCTGCAGATATCGTCCTCATGCGGCCTCAATCCCTCCTGGACATTCCCGCGGCCTTACACCTCGCCAAAACCATCTTTGGCAGGATAAAGTTGAACCTGCTCTGGGCTTGCTTCTACAATGTGTTGGGTTTACCGTTCGCTATGGGGGTTTTCTTGCCGCTGGGACTGCACCTGCACCCCATGGCGGCAGGCGCTGCCATGGCAGCTAGTAGTGTTTCCGTCGTGTGTTCCAGTCTGCTACTGAACTTATGGAGAAGGCCGGTTTGGATGACGGTTGATGGGATGAAGGCCGAGGAAGCGAGTGGCCTAGAAACTCCTAGGGGTCCGGGCATGGGTTGGTGGAGCAGGTGGGGGAGGTGGAGGGCCGGGAGAAGAGTTGGAGATGGGTATACACCCATTGGTACGGAAGAGGTGTAAATGCTTGTTGGGCGAGCCGGAGAGTATATGTATTATTCCTTAAACCAACACTTAATTGTTCACATCTGCTTTTCCCTCGTTTTTCCAGTACTTTTTTTTTCCCTCTTTTCCTCTTCATCGGCTGGGTTTTGTTGTTACAAGGATAGGGTAGCTTGGTGTGGTGGGCTCTGGTCGGGTGATATAGAAATTACACCTTCACCCCTTACGCCATTTTGAGAGAATTGGTGGTATGATACCGCATGTCGTCGTTGCAGTTAATCCGTGCTGCGAGCCGAGATAAGACATCGTGAGCAGGTTTGCGCTTGTTCCGAACCGGGGTGGGCCCTTGATGCTTGGAATTGTCCCACACGTTACCCCGATAGGAAACAACGAGTGAGCGCACGTGCACGAGTGATATTTTACGATGGGTCCGAAAGTGGTGCCTTGGGTGCCTCTTTGAGCTGTTCTGGGATCCTTTCTTTGATCCACACTCTGGCATTACTTCGCGTCAATAAAGTTAATAGGCGGTGTTGTCTCTATCGTCGAAAGATTGGTGGGCCTACTAAGACTTTTGTTCAATCACTTTACATCTCCGGCCTTTGTCTACTCGTAATTTTCAGACGTTTGGAAACACAGCTGTTATTGCATATGGGCGAAAAATTGACTGGAGCCTCAAGATTTTGGCGGTGTGCAGTAGCATGCTTTGGTTCAAACCAACCTTTGTAATTATTCCGGGTCCCGCCCCGGTTTCTAGGGACAACCTCTATGGTGAACACCGTTAAAAGAATAATAATAAAAAAACTCCCTCCAGACTCATCTTTAATGCCCATTGCCAGTGCCCTGATCACGGACAGACAAAAGCCTCTCCTGAGACTCGACCTTCAGCTCTAGTTTAAGCTGACCTATAGCTTTCTCTATCGCTGTGGTAAGTCTTTTTTCCATCTCATCCTGCTTCTTCGCAAAATTTTCCTCAATGTGACGATCGTAGAAAATCACTCCCAATGCAACCTAATCGATCTGTTTAGCCTCAGGTCATGTAGCAAAAAGATTACTGGTAGCATACTCCCATCACAACCGATCCCAAAAGCCATCTCATCAACGCTCGGGTATCTCTAATTAACTCGTTGATCGGCTGCAACCCCTTTTCTAGACTCCTATCCCAACCCGCATTCAATCTGTTTACCGACTGAGAGATAGTTAGAATATTCAAGTTGCAAATTTAAGGAATCTGTTTTATCAAAAACATTATCTCTTCCAAGTGTGTGACCCGAGTAACTAAATCTCGCATCTCGGATGCGTTCTCAGAGGCACCCCTGGATGTGTTCTCAAAGACATTCCCGGATGCATTATCAGATGCGTTATTGGATGCGTTATCGGATTCGATCTCGCCGGTTGAGTAGTACTCCTGTCCAGCCACATACTACTCGTAGTCAGTACTTATATATTACTTGCCAAACACAATTGATTGGCAGACCTGGAAGTGCATAGGCTGAATGGGACGAGTGGGTTCGAAGAGGTGAGCAGGCCGAAAGAGGCGAGCAGGCTTAAAGATGCAAGTAGGTTGAGGGATGTGAGTAGGTCGAACTCGACCGAAAGCATGAAGCTGCCTCAAATGAGACACAAGAGGTTTGTGGACGAGCATAGAACGAGTAATCCGATAATTTAATATCCTGATGAACGTTCGTTAAGTGAGTTGTGCAGTAACTGTTACTTGAGTAGAGGATGATACTCGTGCCAAGGTTGCAGC